GACTGAGACTATCGAACACCTAAATAAAATAAGCAGATGAAAATAGGTACTCTTATCATGTCTCGATAATCATTCAATACCATATATCACTGCCAGCAACAGACTTCCCTTATACGGGTGTTCAGTCAACATCCGCAAATCTTGGTGCCACACGTTTATTCTGCAATATCAGCCATGTGGACGTGGATGGACTGCATGCTTCCCGTTCCCCGCAACAAGTCGGATCGTCGCAGAATATCAATATCGCCAAGACCCTTGGGCTTCGAACTACAACTTGCTTGATTGACCTATTTAACACATCCCGCACCACCCAAGCTACTCAAACTACCTATGTACACCATACATGCCTACCCGCTGGTCCGCGATCCATCATTCCACCAATAGGTTGTCCGGTGGAAGTGTTTAGCTCGTAGTCTTGGCTTTAAGTCAGCACCTACAAAACTAACATTTGCCGTCCGCACTGATGCTATCCTAAGTACTTGGCAAAGCTTGTTGCTCATGGAGGCTTGTCTTGGCATCGCTTGAGTCAACCATGCTTTCAATACCCGTCTTGGCTGACCCTGTGGTAAAGATCAACAACAAGGTATCAAATAGCCACTGGGAGATGGCTGCAGTCAAAATAAAGCGAAGCCAAAAATATCGTCAAGGATCACGGCATCCTCTTTGTTAGATCAAGGTGTTGTTCAGCTATTGGCTATTGACTCTTACGTTATACGTTGGGAATAGCCAACTCCAATCGGCTGCTCTTTTTCTCGTGCGGGATGTCGAAAAGGGTCGTGATCGTCCAGATCTCTTCTCCTTAAAGCCTTTGATACAGAGCAGATACAGAGGGTTAGGGTAGTATGTATGACTACTCTTTTCTAGAGGACAAAATGTCCTAGATGGTACGTCACAAGGCCTGAGGAGTCGCTAGCAGAATTTACCCAGCTTGGCTACATCTATCTAGCCTGACATGTGATGAAAATGCCTAGAGCGGCCACGGGTACCCACGTATATCAATTCATTTTGAGAGAAGATATCGGGCGACGAACAGCCTCCGCTATGAATTTCCATTGGCAACCAGACTTTCTTCCAATGAGAAATCTGAATGGCGTTTCTCTTCAGCACTATGAAATGCCGTCTTGAATGTATTGTAAACAATGAACACTCAAGACCGAAAGAGTAGCAGGTAAGAAAGAGTACTCACCGCCGTACAATGCCCTTTGCAAGTGTCTACCAATGAGAGAAAGTGGGCACCTTGTAGAACATTTACACCTTGTTCATCAGATATGTATATGCACATTATATAACAGGAATACGTCGGTATCAACTCTACGCAGTATGAGCATACAGATATGCACGAGCCTGAGAAGACTCAGGTCCAGTGGGACTCACTGTAGTTGTAAAGTTGTACCAATAGAGTCATCGACTTGTAGGGTACTATAAAAGCATATAGTGTTTTAGCTGGTATTTAAATCAGGCTGCATTCACAACTTATCTCTCAAACGCGGCGTCAAAAGATATAGTCAGTTGATTCCTGATCAAGAGATTCGATCTTGAATGACTTCGCTCTTGATGGTAGAATAAAGCTCGACTGAGTCAACAAGCAGTGTGTACGTAAGTACTTATTCAAAGCTACAACTAGCAATAATGAAGGTATTAAGATTACTGAAACTGAAGAGCAAGAGAGTTTGTCTGCAGTGGTAGCTATATGCATGTCCATAGCATCAAAGAAAACTTGTTCATGTATCGTTTTCTACCAGATTCTCACGAATGTTCTACAACAAAGCAATCGAAATCATTTCTCAATAATCTAATAGTGACCTTATCAAAATTAACTAATATTTAAGTTGTAGATTCCCCCTAACCTTCCTCTCTTCCCGTGGCAAACCCAAAAGCACAACTTCTTCGCGCACATCTGTCCTACTCTATCACATCCTTGCCATTCCCTCTTCATCGACTTGTCGTCTTGCGGCTCCCTTCCTGGAAATGGTCGGAAGCAATCAGGACAATCCAGTCCAAATCCGAGTTCAGGATCCCACAAAATCTCCATTGATATACGTCGATATAGCCGAGGATTCCATGCAATTCAACTATGGAGGCATTAAGAACGCTTTGACTCTTACTCTCCACCGTACGATTCGCGTCCCCGATAACCAGAAAAGCATCAGCTCGTTGCCTCCGGATCTAGGTCAATTTCAGATCTACAAAGTTCAGGTCAGTATTTCCATAGTACATTTCTTTGACATCTCCTGGAATCAGCGATGTTTGATGCATCGTCTTTGCTATCATCTTTTCGTGGACAAAGCGCAGGTTCTGGTAGCTCATCAAGACGAACTAGGATTACCTTGAACAAGTCCCAGCCGAAGTGGCAAAGGAATCCGGTCTTTTCCTTACCATGTATCAACGGGAAGCGATGTGGATCAATTTCAGGGCACAATTACCCTTCGCCATCCGGGTCTTCGTTGGGGGTATCAACGCCGTCTCTGGATTCTCGATGGAAGAGCGGCAGGAGCAAGCACAAAAAGACGCAGCGATGGTTAAGCATGGACAGCCTATCCAAGACTACATGGTAGTCCCAGGCCAACCTTGGCTCGACGGCATCGTTTGTGAGGACGGTCAAGTCCGCCAATTCGTGGCGCAGCCCAGAGATTCCGGTTTTAGTGTCGAGCAACAAGTCACTGGCGCGGACGCTCGCGGAGGCATTCAAGTTGAGATTATCCCTATTAAATGCGGCCCGCTGCCAAGACACATGGTAGTGGGCTTCACGAATAATCACAGAAGAGACATCAGACATCTTGACCTTGTCGCAATGGGGCTTCAAGAATCATCCACCTGGAAAGACTTGAAGCAAGCCCTGGAGCCTATGTTCGGCATACCTGTTGAAGAGCAGGTGCTTTTCCCAGAGGTCGAATGGAACCATTTCCTGCCTATCAATGACGAAGCTCGAATTAGTAATTACTACTTCCGGCCTGACTTTGTTCTGAGTGTTAGCCGAAACCCTCAGGATGCAGCTCCTCCTCCTCGAGGACTTTTTGGTCTCGATGCCGACTTCAGGAGGGCAGGGATGTTACCTTACAACAGGATCGTGAGTAAGTGCGCATGTTTTCTTTTCTCTATCCTGTGAATGGTTGATCGAAAGACTAATATTCCTCCTTCATAGACAAGATAGAACAGATGAGCATTGCCGCCGGTGGATTAAGTAAGAAATCCTTTCCAGCTTTATTAGTCATCAACACACTTCCTTCCAATAGTAAGAAGACGGACCTGCTAATCCTCTTGACAACACAATCAGTCAAACAGAATATTTACCGGGACAATAACCCCTCTTACTCATGGGATAAAGATGCAGCTATCCTATTTCATATCCATATCTTGGATACGGCAACATTTGCCGAGGTGACGGGTAAACCGGCACCAGCGACGCCCATCAGCGCGAGAACTTACGCGGAGCGTAAGCCACCCTCCCGTGCCAGTGCTCATGGGTTCTAGACCCCGAACGACAATGGCTGACAATGAGTCTTATACAGATGGAGGTCACTTTTTCGACATCTGGCGCGAGGAGCCGACAGGTATCAAAGGCAACTTCGCCAAAGTGAAGAGCATCGCAGCACTCGAGCAGGAGCACGCCAAGGCAGAGGGGAGCCCGTACCCGGAAGAGGAGAACGTGCCCCAGATCGTCTCGGTCATTGGCAGATATAAGTCTACCTTCAATCCAGTGGGTGTTCTTCACTAGGATTCACGCGAGGGTTGATGGGTTGGCGAGATGACGGCATCATTGACCTCCAACCAGAGAAGCCACTCATTTGTTCCGGCACGTTTCTTGGCTGCTTGGGCGCCTCATACCAGATTAGCATGGATTAATTGGCGAAGTGTGTGAAGTTTTGCGAAAATCTCGAGAGAATTAAGAAAAAAAGGGAAAAGCGAAAGAAGAAGGAAGTTTTGGTATCGGTTTGGGGGTTGCTTACCTCGACGACAAATATGGATAGAGCAGGGACAAAATGGAGATTGATTTCGTTCTTGGGCTATTAGGCCGGGGATTCATTGACGGAGCTCAATAGAAATCATATGCGGCGCCTCAGCAACAGCTTCTTACCTAGAGAAGGACATTCTTCTAATTGACTTTGATTCTCTGCCGAGTCTTGACAAGACTTGGTTATCAGCAAAAGATACTTCTGCTGAGTAAAATGACCTATCCGAACCGTTGTATCCTACCGTAGCATATATGGATCGTATTGTTTCGATCCCTTGGCCGCTTGCCTACGGATACATGTCATCAAACAATTGTCTTCGTAGGAAGCGGATTTATCAAATAACCAAGATGAACTGCCCTCAAGCAGTATTCATATTACTACCAAAGCCAGCCTGACACAAGAGGCGATTCCTATCAAGTGCTACTAGTTTCTCGCATCCTATCATTACAGTTCTTACACATATTCGGAGGGAAGCCTTATGTTGGTCTGTGTTCTGGGTTTTGTATGAACTGTGAGTAAATTAGTTTCTCTATGCTACTCGAGAGTACTTGTCGTCGAGTTTTGCAGATGACATGTCAAAGATAGACTGAGAACAGGAATTGTAACTTTGCACATGCTGTGTCTTCGGTTTACTAGGGTATCGAGAGCTGGTCTCTTCATTCTACCTTTCAGCAAGCCCCTATCGTGCTTTCAATAAAGCGCGGGACGAGATGCATCTCCATCCACACCCCCCGCCCTATCACGAAGAGTAAAGCGCAAATTCTCATAGACAAGCTACTTAACTAAAATTTAGCTAGGTCAACAATCCAATATCAAAATCTCAAAACCTAAATCTGTTATGTGAGTGGTGTTGCATCCCAACTCCTTGACATTATGGACGCTGTTTTCGGCGGCGGCCATCATCTGAAGAAAATTGCCCGCTTGGCTAAGTGGTATAGCGTGTCACTAGTAACATGGGACTCGTCCAAGAATCTCGCAAACTAGGTGCCATGACAAGATCAGCGGTTCGATTCCGCTAGTGGGCTGTCGATTCGCTTCAAATTTGTATCCGAATTGGTGTAGTGGCTAACATTTGACGCTCTCATGGCTGCCTTTCTTTCCCTCCTCTAAGGTCAAGGAACAGCATCAGTGCCGTCAAGCCCGGGGTTCGATTCCCCGATTCGGAGTTGATCATCCCACCTGATAGGTGGGACAACAAGTTATTATTTTGCCCTAGGGTTCTCAACATAATTGTTTTGTTTCTCTTGCTTGTATGTGCTTTATTCATGCTAGTCACTTAATTTAGTAGGGCTTGTCTAAGTGTTAGTTAGTTAGCTAGGCGTGCTAACTATAAACAATGGTATGATTTTAGCAGTTTCTTGAACATAGTGTACAAAAGCGAACCAGAAGATTTATTTTTGTTCGAAAGCATATGATCTAGTAATAAAGGCTATTTACTACTTGTTAATCTCTAAAACCAGAAAGGCTATCCTGATTCTATAGCGCAGAACCAAACAACACGGAGTTTCTAAGCAACGATTAACATCTTAGAGACTCCGTTGGCCTTTTAGCCGTCGCCGTCATGTGTTATTGGGCCCTGCGTCTCGCGCCACATCGGTGTTGATCACGATATCATCTCTATCCCTGGAGTGTAAAATGACAGTGACCGCTAGTAGATCGAGGTTGTCTTTATGCTGCTCGTATCGAGGGGTCAGAATATCTGAACTCCTGAGTGAAGTACGAGCCGACATCTCAGCCTTGAGCTGACGGATCTCAGCCGTCAAGGCCACATATCTTTCTTTCCAGTCACATTCATGGTTTGGAGGAGCGATGGGCATTGGCTTAGCGATCTCGAGTTCAGACTGCTCGGCAGAATACCTGGACTCGGATTCTTGGTCAGACTTGTGGGATATAGATATAAAAGATCGACTAGTGGCTTCCTGACGAAGGTGTGCATCTGTAGGCCTAGGGGCTGTGTTTTCCTCTTGGCCGAGCCGAGTGTTGGAGTGCAGGTGTTTATTTTTAGCCTCCTAACTTTCTATAAGCGACCGCGACAGTCCACTCCTAGCTATAGGGATCGCCTCTTGATGTCGAACTTGATGGGGAAGCGTCTTACGCTTATGGCTCGCCTTCTTCATGGAGGAAGCCGCATCTGCATGATCCTGAACAGATTCGAAAATCTTACGTCGTTTTGACACTGAAATTGGAGTATACCTATGCTTAGAAGGGGCCCGTTCAATTCGTGTCTTAGGTGTCACATGAGATGGCTCAGGTACCTTTGCTTCTATAGAAGGTGAATTATGTGTCCTTATTAGAGGCAGACGACGTTCTTCTGTGATGTCCGCTTTTCGGATGGAGCTTGTCGAGCGAACAGCCGAGTGTCCTCTCCAGTCATCAAGGGCGTACCCGCGGTCGTTCCAATACGCCTCGTTACTTTTCATGTCAATGTGGTATAATGGAGCGGTAGCATCGGCGGCTTTCCTAGTCGGATTCTTTAACCATGGTGGTGTGCTGACCAGTCGAAGTTTACGGGGTTCAGTATTCCGCTGAGACAAGTTCAAGTCACTTTGCGTTTCCTTTTGCTTGTAAGGAATAACAGAACCCCCTAACGTCAAATTCCCCGCCTTTTGTATAGCCTCCCTACCCGCATTTTCAAGAGGCTGATGTTTTGACGCACTTGGTGCAGCTTCTATCAACGGAGAACGTTGCATCTCACCGCCTAAGCGACTCGGGTGGCCTGGAGGGACAGCATCTTGAGTCCACTGAAATGAATTAATCCGTGCCACCGGCTTGGGCTTCGTGAAAGGCCGAAGATACGGGCTTTGCTTGACGCTAGCCTTGGATGATACGAGCCTGATTCCTTTTTCACTGCGGCCTTTAAGGAGATCATAAGCATTATGGCCAACTGCCGAGGAAAGGTGTTCCGCGATGTGATGAAAGCTATGGAAGCCTGCAGAGTGGTGGCGATGAGGGACATCGCTTTTCTCTCGCGCGGGACTCTTATCAAAGGTGGACTTCTTAACTATAACCTGTGGAGGCAAATTCGAAGCGTTGTCTTGGTTTTGTTCATATTGTTCCTCGTTCATACGCTGATGATCGCTACTGGTTGGAGCAGATATGCCAGAGAGCGTTATTTCCTTTCCACGTCCATCAATCTTTCGCCAGCTAGTATCGGTACGGAGACTGAACGGTCGACGAAGATGCATATCTGTGCGGTCGTGGTTCCAGTTCTCAGAGGTAGGACGGGCCACTCCTTGGGAAAATCTTTGCATAAGTTTCGGGTCTAACCTAGAAGCAGATACGTATTGGGATCCATCTCTTGCTACCGTAGGGCTTGGATGATGTGAAAAGTCAGCATGAGCTTGCGGAGTGTCGCTAGACACCTCACACTTGCACCTCTCATAGAGGCGGTGTCCACAGGACGAGCAATGAGTTGGAGCCAGTGTGGGGACCAAGCAAATGTGACAGTATCGGCAATATCTTCGGGGGCTGGCATTTCCATCCCCTGATAGAGACAGGCCCTCGTTATCTGAAAGCCAGCCGGAGGGCCTGCTAATATCGTACTGTGTGAATATATCACGAGCTGACCTCCATCGCTCAATATATGGCGTGTGACGCAAGCTGGGCGAAGCTAGTGGCATGTTTTGTGGCACTCTAAGGAATAAGGGGTTTATGAAGGGTTGTATCTCATTATGGTTAGGTGTTGGCAAGTATGTATGAGTTGGGTTGAACCGAGTCTCTTTGACAACGTTGGAAACATACTGTCTACTGGACGGGTGGATTTCCATGAGACCGAATTTGTTACATAGGTGGCCCATAGAAAAGCTCTTGCGACATGATGATGACTGGAACAAGCGTGGTGCTTGAAAACCGGATTCCTGAGCAGACTCCTCGGCAAGTTTATCACGTCCACAATTGTGGAAGACATATATATGGGAAGTGGGGAGCGTCTGGAAGTCCGGTAAATCGAGATGCTGGGCCGAAGGGTCTGCAATCTGGGACCGTGGCGGACGTCTCTGAGCGACGGCCGCGTTCGCGCGCTCGTACTCGGCGGGGTCGGGGTCTTTGGATGAGGAGTTGATGTGGCTAGAAGATGCGCAGAACCGATGCGGTCGCGATGTAGCGGTCCTAGTAAGAGCTAGATTATCAAGGACAGGGTGGTCACTCTGGTTGGGCCCGTCTTCAACAATGGGAGCACGTCCTCGTGAGCGTGAAGACATGACGAATAATCTCCCTCGACGGTTTGAATGATCCTATAGATAGCGCATTATCTCCCGGGTAGGCTAGAATCAATATAATATATTTACAGCCTCAAAATTGACGTTAGGAATTGCACTACCTGTTAGCAGTAAGCGAGCAGAACCGAGGAGTGCGTCATCTAGGCAACTTGGTCGCGACACAATCTCAGGTAGCCACTACGTAGTAGCACCTGATAAGGCAGCGACGGTATGTATTGCAAGTAGGCGCATGCACATAAAAAGGCAGCCGCAATAGTAGACGCCAATATCCTCAAATCGACATGCTTCGCTTTTGCAGATTGCAGGGAATTATTCTGATGTACAAGTTGTTGCGTGACCACTATCTTCTATACAGTCTATTTCAATACAGCTTGCAAACTCTCGAGGACCTGATGGCGTTAGTAAGGCATGATATAGAACAAACACCCAGGGCACGCTTACCTCCAACTCAATCTTAGCCTCCGCGATATCCTGCTCACTACCGCTACCGTTGGCGACCTTCTGTGCCTCGGCAATCTGGGATCGAACAGCTTCGGCGCTGAAATCCTCCAGGGGGTAGCCCTCAACGGCGTTGATGCTCAAAACGGAGTTTGGCTGGACGGTAGCGAAGCCTCCAGACACTAGTGATAGACTTCAGTTAACGGCCGTATGTTACCTTCTTCGTCTTCGCATGTACATACGGAAAAACTGCTTGCTGGAGCCGTTGTCCTCGATGACCTCAATGAGACCAGGCTTCAGTTGCTCGATCGAAGGGACGTGGTTGGCAAGGACACCCATTTCACCAGACTCGGCGGGAATGTTGACCTGGACAACACCTTGCGACTTGTAGATGGACTGTTGGTTGCGGGAATTAGCAGAGCCGGCCGGGTAGCGACGCCGTCTAACGTAGGCGTGATGAACGGAGACGCGGGCGCCATGGTGTAGTGGACGCCGTCGCACTGCTGGAGGCTATCGTACCTGGTGAGGAAGAGACAAGCTTAGCTTGATCTGCGTAATTGTTAGTAGAGCACTTTATTTCTATTGCGGTGTGATACGAGCCTTGTCGGGGGCAGCATCGGCATAGCCCCTTCGCTGCAGAGGCTGGATGGGGAGCCGCATGGCAGCGGGACGAGCTCGCAGAGCTGCGCGGGCGACGCGGAAGGCGTTCATGATGACTGGCGTTGTCAATTAGAGAAATGCGTGACCTAGCGAAGCTCACGATGGGCAACAGCAGCAAATTGGAAGTCAATGCTTGGAGAGGCGGATTATCGGAAGATTGTCAGTCTAGCCACATACGGTAAGAGGATAGTTTCACGTGCTTATCACGTGAGCCGATCCTCTTCTACCAGACTGGCAACTGCCTGACTGCTCTCTGCTTACCTAAAGGCAGACCTAAAGGTATGACGTCGCCATTTTACTATGCGCTGTCTTATTCATGGCTATTACTGCCCAGGTGATATAACAGCATGTAACCTCCAAAACCAGAACATTAAGATGGCATTTTTCAACTCTTATGGCGGTAAGGGACGCCATTTTGATTTCGTACAAGAGACTATGATCATCTTATGTTGCCATTGATTTGGCGACTTCAGCAGCATCACCAATCGATACTAGACCTTGTTGCATTGCGTACCATTATTTTCCCTGGATACACCTGGTATATGACAGAGTTCCGGACTGACCGGCGGAATAAGCCAATCCAAGATTATAGATATCAATACTAGAAAGTAAAAGCAGCGTGTCATCGTTGTATCCTCAACAATTTGGCGAGACACTTTGATACCAATGAGTCAAATTTTCAAAATTTCCTTCGCTCCAACACTAACAGCCTATACATTCTATTTCGGCCTTGAGCTGACTGGGAGTTGTCCATCTGCACGCATCGGGGATGCCGTCATCAATCAGCTCCCGATGACTTGATGGTTGGCCAAGAGATGCCAATGTTTCGCTGAAGGGGCTTTCGAGTGTTG